GTTATTTACGTAGAAAAAGCAAGCCTGCAAGAAGCTTGTGAGGTAATGAGTAAGAATATTGATCGCTTTCATGTGTGGCTGGAAGAGAAAGGTCTGGAATTATCAGATAATAAAAGTTCAATTGGTATTTATACAAGACACAGAAATATTAATCATGTGGATAAGATAAATAGTAAATATCACATCATTAAAGTACAAAAATATAACAAATTCTTAGGGGTTATATTTGATCAAAAGTTATCTTTCAAACAACACATGGATTATGTGCTTAAAAGAGTAGAAAAAAGAATAAATATTTTGAGAATGACGAATGGTACATGGTGGGGATCACACCCTATTGCGTCCTTGAATCTTTATAAAACACTAATAAGACCCATTTTTGATTATGGATGTATTGTATTTAATAATTCGATTTACTGTAGGGTATTGGACAAAGCTCAATATAACTGTTTGAGAATTTGTATGGGGGCTATGCGATCCACTCCCACTAATGCCCTTTTGGTGGAAAGTGGGGAGATGCCTTTATACCTAAGACGACAGTTCATTTGTGACAAATTTATACTTAAAAAAATAATAATACAGGATAATCAAATTATAGAAAAAGTAGGTAAAATTTCAATAGACACTACAATATATAAGTATTGGAAAAAGCGAAAAAAACCATGCCTAGTTAATAGCTATTTGTATGTAAATAAAATAAGAGAGGAAGGTATCAATTATACAAAACACCCATATTATAATACACTTTATCTGGATATATATAGCATTTCTGATGATATTTTTAATATAAACATGACAAAAATAAGAGATTACAATGTAATTTACACGGATGGATCTAAGCTTGATCAGAAAGTGGGTTGTGCAATATATTTGGAAAATTTGAACATTAAGTTGGGATATAAACTGCCTGATTTTGCTTCAATTTTTACTGCGGAAATTTTTGCTATTAAAAAGGCAATAGAGTTAATTCAAAGGCACAAAATAATGAAGACAGTTATATTCACCGACAGTAAAAGTAGTATAGAAACTCTACAAAATTTATACAACAAAACTCAGACATCAGATATATTGTTCTATGAAGTGTGGTACGATATTAATAGGCTGATGAGAATAGGGTATACCATTAAAATAATATGGATTAAGGCTCACTCAGGAATCAAAGGAAATGAAATAGCTGATAAATTAGCAAAACAAGCAACAAAAAATGGATCTATTATGCACGTAGCAACATACAAGGATTATGTGAAACGGTGTAAAATAGAAATTTTAAAGAGTGGCAAAAAGTATGGATCGATCCAAATGAGACTAGAGGGGCATATTATAGAATATGCAATCCAGCAGTGGGAAGCAGAATGTGGCAAAAGTTTCAAATTCGAGGATAGAAGAACCTTAGTAACATTAACGAGGTTAAGATTAAACCATGGAAGCTTTCCATCACACCTGCATCGGATAGGTGTTGCAGCTTCGAATGCATGTAGGTGTGGTAAAGCAGTTGGAAGTGGTGAACATTTAATATTGGAGTGTGGCCTATTTGAAAAAAACAGACAAGATATGTTGCATAAGCTGCATGAGTGCAATTGCATAGACAAACCAGTTAATTTACTTACAATATTAAGAAGTGTAAAGTGCTATAGTATTTTGGTTAATTTTATTAGATTAAGTGGTATAAATATATAAATTATGTTAAATAATATTGTATGTGGCTGTATTGTTATTAGAGGCCAAATAAAGAAAAGAAAAAAAAAAAAAAAAAAAAAAAAAAAAAAAATTAATTTTTATTATTTCATGTACTATTTACATTTATACAAATTATCTATGAGTGCTAAAAATAAAAAATAGTACATCTGAAAAAAAAGTTCATTATTTTTCAATCATGCAAATATAATTTGAGATCTTTTTTATGAGTACATTTTCCGCAAACATGTTTGTTGCAACTTTGACACGTATTATTAGTTTTATTATTATTACAAAGTCTTATTTGGCAAAATTTTTTTTTATTACTACTGGTATTTGCATGATGTCTGTGGGTCATCATTTTCCTTTGATTTTTTTTGTGTTGATGTCCTGTAGTCCGCGGAAAGCTGTTCTGCCAATTCAAACAAAAAACTGTTCTCTAAGGATTTGTTTTCTTTGGATTTTTATTCCTGTCGCTTCTTTGTAAAGAATCCAGGAATTTATCGCAGCCAAATCCAAAATATTGAAAAATATTTGCAGGGGTCATCTACGTGAACTGGATTTCACCGTATATTTTCTTTACCTTTGATCTGTCATGCCTTCTTTGCTGACCATAAGTAAGTCAATTTCAAATTTTTTGCCTCATAGGCCCCACGATCATATAAAATTCCAATAAATGCACGTATTTCCGGTAACGATGTTGTCCAATTGTACCCCAAAATTGACTGCCCTCTTCTTCTGTGCACTGTTTTATGTGTTTGATAATATAATTATCTATTATCAACGAAAATGCACTGACAAGATCACCTGTAATAATATTCTTTTTGAAAAGCTCGTTGGCCCTTTCACACCCTTGAAAACACAGATGATGACCTTCCTGGAGTACCACCTTCGGCAATTTTGGTCCATACAGTACCATCGAGAGAGGTTTTTGTTTCTTGAATTCTTTCATTAGTTTATGAGCCACTTAGCACCCTCCTGCATACACTGATGGCACTTTCATTTTCATCAATAGTGATCACCTTCATCGCTACCCTCAGAATTAGATGATTCACGTGGAATATAATCCGATTCATCTTCAGATGATTGTGCCCAATTTTCTGCATTTGATTCTATGTCGGAACATTCTTCACTTATGTTGTTAGCTTTTACAATAATTCACTTCTCTTCGACATTTTATTTATAAGTTCTAAAAAATCAACTGAACAACGCGTTATACTGAAAGTTACTACGTGAAAAAGACCGGTCTAATGTCAATACTTACCAAAATTCGGTTATTTATATAAACAAATGCATTATCGCATATTGGAGATGAATGCACGCGAGATAACGATTTGCAATACAATAACAAAGCCGTTTGTAATGTAAAATTTCTATAGCAGTCAAAATGACTGTTTTCCGTCCATGCAGGCATAACATGTAAGAATATTGAAAATAAAAGTGAGATAAGGCAAATAATACGATTTATCTACGCATTTATATGTTGTATAAAAAGTCAAAAAATTTCACGAAGCTGCGACTTCAAATACATAGTTATTTTTATGTTTGAAAATGGAAAACAGTCAAAATGACTGCGTCCGTCTTTCTAGAGTTAATAAGGTTTCATTTTGGTTACTTTCATTATTAAAAAAGATGTTCTAATTGATAGATTTTTTGCTGGCTCTTTAAAATGCAATGTATGTGTGTATTATGTTTTTTCTGGCAAACTCCGTAACGACATGAAAATTGACAATTATTGCAATGGTGATTTGTTTTAAGCAATTGGTACAGACTCTTAATCGCTGGGCTTGCGATATTCTTTCTTTGACTGTTAATTTTCGAAAATCTTCACAATTATATGAAGAATGAGCCTTTTGACATAATACACATTGCAAGGTGTTTGAGATTCCATGTGATATTGTATCCCTATCGCTATTTGAAGATGTGAGTTTATGAAATTTGATAGTAGGCATTTTATTGATTATAGAATATAACATTTCTTTTAATCGATCACAAGTATCAATGACTTCGGAGAGATCGATCTCACATAACTTATTCGACTCCTCCTAGTCCTTATTGATAATAACTAAATTAATAATTACGTTTTCATAATCTTTATTTAAAGTATTTAATTCATCTAAACGATTACTGAGATCACTACTATTTAATTCAGACATCGGCAACTCTAGTAACTTTTGGCAATGATTTTCTAATTTCGTTCATCTCTAAAATTTTCTTTTAGTTTTTAATGCTTTTTGCGAATCCATTTTTGCACAGATCAAAACAGCATATATAAAAAGGATGTATTTAGGTAATAAAGGAATAATTTAGGGATGTACTTGAACTGACCTTTCTTGCTGTCCCGCTGGGCCTTCGTCGTTGCCTGCGTAGAATCTCAGCTATTTCGTTTGGTTGCTCCGTCCTCACGGTGTTAACACTTGTTGTTTAACTTATTTATTTTATTTAATAATTTGATTTATTATTAATCAAATTTTAAAATGGAAATACTATTATTCTTTTGAATTTAGTAATTTGATTTGTGATTTTATTAAATTTAATCACTGAATTTTATTCATTTATTTGTGGTATTATTAAATTTAATCATTCTCAGTCTATTAATTTGATCTTAATTTAATAATAACTCACTTGAAATTATTAATTTTATTTGTGATTTTATAAACTATTCACTTGAAATTTGTAATATTATTAAATTTAATCACTTGCACTATAGATTTGATTTTAATTTAATAATTTACTTTGATATTTTAGCGGACTGTATATTGCTGGTTGATTAATTTACTTGAACGTCCAAAAGATCACTTAAAATTATTAATATTATTTATTTGTGTCCTTTGGAAAGTTATAAAAGTCCATATGATAAATATCCGGTTCGTTTGGACAAAATGTTAAGGCGCGAAGCTTAAAAATTACTTCGACGTCTAACTGGGTGTTGTCGTTTTACTTCTCCTAACCATTACACTTTTAAATTTGTTCAATAATTTAACTACTGGTGTGATCGGTGATTATTTAAGTAAAAGGCGACGTTTGATATTAATATATTTATTATAAAAAGAATATGGTGAATATAATGGCATCAGATAGTTAGTGTGTCTATGCTGAGCTCTGAACTTATACTGAATAAAAATTATTAAAATAAAAATTAACAATATTAGCCCCGCCGTAAGAGGCGGGTTACATTAATTTGTACATCTACGGGGGATGATTTCTTGGACTTAATATATCCGAGAAGGATGATTCCTTGAAATTATCTGAAGGCATTTTGCAGACCCATAAATAAAATCATCGACGCGGATATAGACAGTCCAGACAAATAACTTACATCAAAATTAAAAATATCTTATGTTACTAATGCTTTCCTGACTAGCCTTATTTTCTAATTTAAAAGAGTTTTCCAACGCACATACTCTTGATTCTAAAAACGAAAAAAATTCACTGACCGTTGGAAGCACATTCCCATTCCTAGCTAAATTCCACGCCATTCTAGTGCTGCTATCCACCTTCTTGTTTAACATATACAACAGGATGAGATCCCAGTATTTTGTTGGATCATACGCTGCCAAAAGAGCATGTACCTGCTGCCTAGCGCTGCACAAGAAATTGCCTAAGAATTCATGCGTACATCTGTGTACTTGAGCTATGTTATCAATCTGCTGCAAAAGTGAATTCAGAATTAAATATTTATTATCATACGTTTTGCATAAAAGATCATAGGCGACCATGTAATTTTCATTACTTAAGTTTAGTGATGAAATTAATTTTGCAGCAGATGATAACAGAGCTCCCTTTAAATAGTGCAACTTAGTCACAGGAGGTAATTTGGTATTACTGTGAATGAATGAATTATATAAATCTATAAACTGTGTCCACTCACTATAATCACCATTAAATTTTGGTAAGGTGATATCAGGTAGCTTTACATCTAACACAGAATGACTATCTACAGCCTTAGGAGGTGAGGGGGTACCATTATTTGTGAGAGCATCCAATTGCGACATCCAAATGCCTATCAGAATACTCGTATTCTTTCGAAAACTCCCCAGGTTGGGCCACCTCTAACTCTATATAATTAGTCTCCCACTGATGACATAGTTCTACTAAATGTTGTTTCCTTCTTTTTAATGCCTCAATGTTACTATCATTCTGACCCGAAGCTACAAATTCAAATATAGTATCAAAATGAGCCTTTACAGTGTTATGTTTCACAATTAAAGAACCTATATCAGCCATGTTTCAGTATATGTAAGCTATCTCAATAAGTTAAAAGCAGATGACTTCCAAATACTCAATGTAGTCTGCTAAATTAATAGTATATAACTAAGTAAATATAGTATAAAAGTATAATTTGCAATCCAATTCCGCCAAAGCAAATAATAAGCTAAGAATTGTGCATTAAGTGCCTGAATTCACTGAATCACCCTATGACATTAACAAGTATCCAATGGTGATCAGTAACAACTAATTATAATTAATTTAATGCTAGTACATAACCTCGGGAAGGATAACATCCGATAATCGTAGATCTCGTAGATGATACAGACTCCGTTGCTCCAAACCTTGATGTGTATGTAATGAATATCCTAACCTCACAACACGTGGTGCCTTGACCTCTATACTGCTTCTTGTGCCTGGTGTTTCACGGTCTGGACAGGATAACATCAAGTAATGTAAGATCTTGATGCTCTCAGATGACCCCATAACACGAGCGACAGCGATGGCAAATATTAGTACCTCTTGTATGTAACCTCCTTTCAAATTGAATCTGAGTCCATCCACTCAGATCAACGATAATTGCTTTTCTCCTGACGTGATTGAGTGATATTGATACCTTTGATTATTGTGAATAGTTTCACGTTTCGATATTCCACTCGGCTTCAACACCAAATTACCAGCAAATTCGACATTCTTTTATACCAAATTTCAATGATGGTTTTTTCTTAAAATCCGTGTGAAGGACCAAAACTTATGGTACAAAAGTTAAACAAACACTATGCACAGTGGAATTTAATAGATAATTAGAGATCACTCAATATACACGATGTTACAGGTTAGGTTGTTTCTATAGAAGAGAGCGTATATCTTGTACAAAAGCATAGTCTAAACTCTAAACCTAGCGCAAGATGATCGACGCTTCGCCCGGTAGTGGGGAGGCCATACAAATAGAAGCGCGAAATTTAAATTAAAACATATTTATCCACATAGATCTAATCTCGCTTTGCTCTAGCCTATCCTCCATTTATTTTAAAGGTAAGGCCAGAGCTTTTAAATCTAACTCTAATAAACATAGCTCTCGCAATTTAAATAAAATTTCGTAAGTGGCTAAATCTGGTTCTCTTAATTTGGTTATTAAATAAAAAACATAATATCTATCATTAAACTTAATATACGCTACATCTCCTACTTCTCTACGTTGAGTAACTAGTTCATTAATATGGTTAAATTTTATCTTAAAATTATTGAAAAATGTATTATTACCACTAAAGTTCTTAGGCGAATCTATACAAAATAACGTGTTTTCTAAACAAATCTGACGCACTGCTCAAACAACAGCTAATAATTCTTTTTCGACAGTGAAATAGTTTTCCTACAGTGAAATAGTTTTTCCTTGTTTAACGTTCTGCTAGCAAACGCAACAGACTAATCCTCACCAATGTCCCCTTGTGATAAATCCGCGCCAATACCAGAGGCGTCAGTTGTTACATCGAAAGTCTGTTGGAAATTCGGGTATCGTAAAACTATGAATATTTAATAATTTTTCAGAAGTTCGCTCAAAGGTCTCGAAATCTTGGAAAAGTTTTCGATGAACCTTCGATAGTAACCTGCTAATCCAAGAAATTATTTTAATTCCTTTGGCGATTTCGGAAGAGGAAAATTTATGACTATCAATTTTTGAATTATCGGGCTTTATGCCACTTTTTCTTTAAAAATGTTTCTCAAGAGTATTTGAGTAAATAACAATATCGTTTAAGTAGACGAAACATTTTATTCCTTGCAACCCAAACAAGACAGAATTCATCAACCGTTGAAATGTTGCTCGGGCATTTTTTAAACCATATGACATACGTTTAAAATGAAAATGGGAGCATTGAATCGTGAAAGCAGTTTTAAACTTACCATTCTTGCTCTTTGAGTAAAGAGCAAAAAAATTAAATCTAGAAACAAAAATCTAAATTAAATAATGAATAGAATATTAACAAAATAAAATTACAAAATATTGAAATAATAATCTTATAACATAAACTGTGGCTGGAGCTGAGCATTGACTACTTTGTCGAGTGGTGAATGCTTGTAAATTATTTAGGATAATTACTATGTTTGAAGGCAATAACTGGAACAAACAATTTTAGGTCCTTTTGGACCATTCCATATGTATGGTATTCATAGTACACGTACACGTGGGTTGTTATAATTTCTTGATATTTCTATTATATTATTACCTTTCGTTATTATTCAATAAGATCTAATATTCTATGTCGTTTTCCGTGAATACGTATAATTATTGAATAATATTAGTCTTTCCCTGTTCTTGGGCTTTCTTGTTGCATATTGAATACTAGTCATGTGCGGCAACTCGTGCGCATAATGATGTCCCTTGCACTGTAGAACCTCATCGCCCGTTGATCTAGATTGGTTCATTTCAATGTCATCATCAAGAGTGAGGTCTTTCCTCCTGTAAACTGTGCTGCATCAGGTCCAATTTCTCCTGTAAATTAGACTGCATCAGCTTTAATTTCTCCTGTGAAATGGATTGAATGGGGTCTGCAACATCTCATCTGGATTACTAAATTGTTGTAACTCGCTTAGAATCGTAGCTTCGACGCACAATTCACAACACTCACTGAACATACTGAACCGACATAAAAACTTCGCCGAGACCCTTGTAGCCGGGCACGCAGTTGAATTAGAAATCTGCTGGTATAGAAACATAGTATTGAAGTTTGAGATATGGTTCAGTTGATGGCAGTTTAGAGAGGCAAATTCTTCATAGATCAGTCAGTTACATTCGTTTTGCTGAATACTACTTGGTAACTTAAAATTCATTACGTATCTTTTTACTGCTATAAATACACCTCTACACCTCTACCCCTATCACTCTTATCATCAATGCTATCTCTGCCACATGTATATATTTTAAAAGTTTTATTATTTCTCCATCTGTTGTACTGTATTTAAGCCAAGATTCGATAACATATAAGATATCATAAAAACTGCTCCAAGTTGTAAGATACTGTAAGTTAACTTTTCTCCGAATACTCTTGTGTTTTGGTAACATACCAAAATATTTCTATTTGTTTGTTTGCTCTTGAATTTGCGCATAAAATAAATTCTAGACATACCTGGTTAATATATTTAATTATTTTATTTATTTCGCCATTCTCTATCGCTGATTTAATTCTTAGCGCAAATTTAACTCTCACTACAGAGTTTTGAAAAAGAACGTGAAAATGTGGACGACTCTTTGAAAACTGACCCTGAAGAGCTCATATTCCCTAATACGGAACTAACACCAGTAATCCTGAGCTGAAGATTCTGGTTCCCTAACTTAACCTCAGACAATTCTTTTGTAAGCCTAATATCTCTTTCGTGAACAAGATATTGTAAATGTAGACAATGTCAAACAAAGAATACTAGAATTGAAATCGATTGAGTCGTCCAAAACTGAGACACTTGCATCTAAAGACTGACTTGGCACCTAGCTCCGTGTAACAACCATTTTGAAATATTTATTAAGAAATAAGTGAACTAGAAAAAGAAACTAAATAAATTGAGCAATTAACTATTTAAAAATTAAAATAAAAAGATATAAAACATTTAAATAAATTCACAAATCACAAATTAAATAAACTTAAGGTAGTGGAAAAACGCTCGCGCAGGTATAAAGAACTACAAAAATAACGAGATTTAACGGTAAATTCAGGTAAAAATAAATAAAAAGTAAAGAGCAAGAATTAGATGTTGACCGTACCGAGGTTGAAGATATATATATATATATATCCTTGGGAGAGTGGTCCTTAATATGGTCATTTTCGAATTTCCTTGCTCCTAGGGGATAAAATGGTTCCAAATAGATAAAAAACAATTCTCTGAAAGTTTTAGCTCTTAATATTAACGTTTAGATAGAGCGCAATTCAATCAAAGTTTTGTATGGAAATAGCATGGAAAAGTTTTCAAAAATTTTGAAGATGTTTTTTAGATGTAATTTAGCGAACAAATAAATAAATAAAACTCATTCATTTGTCGCTAAGTTGAACCTAAAACATTTTTTTTATATTTTCAAAAAAAATTCCATGCTCTTTGCATACAAAGTTTGATTGAATTGCGCTCTATCTAAACGTTAATATTAAGAGCTAAAACTTTCAGAGAATTGTTTTTTGTCTATTTGGAACCATTTGATGAATCCCTGGGAGCAAGGAAATTCGAAATGACCATTTTAAGGATCACCCTAATATATATATATATATATATATATATATATATATATTATAGAATTTTATGATATGAGTGGAACGAATATTAATTGTTTAATATGAACAAAACAGCACTCAGATTTGTTTAACACAACTTTATTTTATGATTACAGACGTTTCGAGACCATGGTGTGTCTCATCTTCAGTGTAATTTCAAAAACAGTTACTTATATACTACACATTCTTTAATAATTTATTTAAATTTCATTTAATTTTTGGTATACAAAAAACACCAACTATTCCTTGCAATGCTTGACACAGTACTAAAGAAACATACTCGTATAACACTTACAGAAATATTCTAAACAAATTTGAAGTACTTATATAGATGGAGACAGAGAGGGTATCATTATAATGTAAACAAAAGGAGTGCTATCGCATACAAAATCGATAAAAATGAAAAAACAAATTAATTTATTGAAAAGAATAAGATAAATGAAAAAATTTTATAAATTATTAATGATGTTTATATAAGTGTCATGTAAAATATTTGTGTCGGTTCTTAGATTTATGCTATTGTTAGTCCGTAC